GAAAAAACGAATTAAAATTCTAGCGAAAAGTATGAAAATGTGGCCGGTCAAAATGACCGGTGAGGTAAAAAAGTGAACGATCAGGAGGCAATTTTGGCCGGTCATTGTCCGTTGACCGGCCGTTATATTGAGTCCTGCGAGCAAGGCAGCAGACCTAATCTTTATGTATATGTATTATATATATGCAGCTGAAATCTCGATCGTCTCGGCGTATTTCAGCCTACCCCAATGTACTGCTTCCGGGCCGGCTGGCTATTCTTGCCTATATAAACAGGCATAAGGCAAACAAGGAATGTGATCATCTTCCCTGATCTTTGGTTTTCTTTAGTGGAAAGCCATAGCTGGCGTAAGTGATCAAACGGCATTTTGTCGATACGCAGTGGTTCGAGCGTTATACGCGGTGTGTTTGCCATAATACGCAGTGGTTCGAGCATTATACGGGGTGCTTTTAAACATAATTTCCATATTCTTTCCATGTATATAATCTCACGATTGCTTAAACTTGGCATGGGGCTGTGCTTTTTGCCTCTGGTCTGCAATGACAATGAGATGCTTTTAAAGGTTTATTTTATAAAAAGGTGTCTGCACTTTGTGAGTTGTATTTATCATATAGTGTTGATTTATTAGAAATAAATCTGTGTATATAACATATATATATAGGTATATAAACGCGGCATAATACGATATTAAAATCTTAAATGTGCCGTATCGTTTAATTATGTTTTAGGATTTAATGCCTTAATTAACAATGCTTTGTCATTTGTATTTGTACTTGTACTGCATCACATCGGGGGGGGGGGGATAAAAAGTTGCTTTGTCCGGGGCCTGGTGGCAACATCCGGAAAGGCCAAGGAAAATGTTTAACAAAACTTGTTTTCTAGGCCTGCATGGCGGCATCTGAGACCATAATATTAGTAATTTTATAAATTTAGTAATAAGAATAACCAAATAGGAAAATATCAAATCAAAATATGTGTACTTTGAGGGGTGCAAAAACTTTTTATGGGCGGTGCCAAATGCAGGCTTTCTTGCCATCCTACTTTTCCTACTTTTTCCTACTTTTCTTCAACTTTCCTACTTTTCCTATTTTTTATTAAAAATTGCTTGATATTCCTACTTTTTCCTACTTTTTCTCATAAAATCCTACTTTTTTAAGACAGCTTGGGGAATCAGTATGTTATAGCTCTTGTAATTAGATCTATAGGACTCGTAATTTCTATTCCCTATTTGTGTCCCAAATGATAAGATCTCAGGAGGAGAAGAGTACATTTTCCAAGTATAAAATTTCATAGCATCTCTAGAATCATAATCAATAAATTAATGAAGACTTTGAAAGTGCATTTCCGACGATCTAGAGATTCCAAATATTCAACTCCCCCCCAGTTAATCAAGCATCATATATACAGGGCTGTAGCAACCGGGGGCTGCAGCCACCCAATAATTTGTTAATAATCCTTTTTTTCCAAAATCATGCAGACCTTTATCATTTAATCCATGAGAAACTGCAAAGAATGAAGATATTACATACTTTCCAGCAACTTATCCAATATATTTAATTAAATATGCCTTCGCCCATTTAGTACTACTAAATTGTAAATTTCGACATACTAAAACGCTGTTTTCTGACCATTAGAATTCTGTCAAATCTTCCCCAAAGTCCAGTAAATGGCATTTCAGAGACTCGAACTTTAAAAATTTCCTCGGGCCTTTGGCCCTCGCTTTCAGCCCTCCCCCCAGGCCTAGAATTTTTTTTTCTTCCTGGCAGCAAAATCCAAAAATAAAAATTTCCATGTGTAAGTCAAATATAAGACTTCCTGCATATGTAGATGTCAAAGAACGTATGGCGCTGCACATTGACATTGACTATTCAACTTCGATCTCGGCACAAGGAAATCTCGACTTGCAAAATGCTTTTGGATTTTTAAGCAAAAAGTAATTAAAATATATGGCATCCCAGGAATTAGGATGACAAAAATTTACTGCAAGATGTAAGAAAATTTCCTGCAAAGATATTTGGTTAAAAATTTCTTGGCAGCGTTGCTGCTGGCGCTGCCGGACATTTTCCAGCAATGCCTCCCCCAATCGAAAAGAGCTTCCTACCGTCCTGATATATGCTCCTGCCGCAGTGTGGATTGGTGCATTGTGTAGCCTAATACATGCAATTGAATTGTGTTGCTGCAGAGCAGATGCCTTAGCTTTTATACCGATTCAATTTAAGAGTTTTGAGAAAAAAATCCTGCATAGATAATGAGTACATAAAAATATTGAGCACCAAAAAGTTACACAACTTCCCCATCAGATATCTAATGTCTAATGTCAGATGTCTACCGCTTACCACATATATCCTAGGGGGGCCAATTTTGTATAGTTTTGTGTTATTTGAATCTCCAAAACTCCTACTTTTGTCCTACTTTTCTACACAAGGATGCCAGAAAGCCTGCAAATGCCTCTGGGGGGGAGGGGTGCAAAGTATTTCTGGGGCACCCCCCCCTCGCAGAAAAAAATCCGTGCCTGCTGCAACACAAGGCTGTGCGTCAGTAAACAGATTCCACATGTGAGGTTGTCTTGTATATATTTTTGCCTTCATTACTATGTAATGTCGGACTTAAATTTTAATATAGTTACATTTTGCATTGTACATTTTCATTCACTGATGAAGTATATCATGCATAGATTTGCACCAACTGAGTGTGTTTTAAATACTGATCATGGTGCGTTTAAACTGATGAAGTATATGTATCCTATTTAGTGGGGCAGAGTTTTGTGTGTTTTAAATATCAATTCGTATGTATATAAACCGCGTTTCTTAAAAACGAAGCAAACTCATAAAAACATATCATATTTAAATGCACGGACTCATGGTGTTTTAAATATCAATGCGTATACCGAGGGTGTCCCAAAAAAACTATACCCTCTTTGATTTTATGTAACGTAAAACCTATAAAAGCTATTTCACTAAAATAAAAACTATTGTATTGACAAATGATAAACTTAGATTTTGATATATAACATTTGATTTTTCGTGCGATATTGACAGAAATACAAGTGTTTGAAGTTGCGAGGATTTTTTTGAAATTGGCGAAAATACAACAAAAATCGCCGCATCAAACTAAATTGAAAGCAATTTTCACTTTACATGGAATCTTTTTAATTTCAGTGATTTTATCTTTAATTTTGGATTATTCCCTTGCAAATTTACTTTAAAAATAAAAATTACACTTAAAGATTGATTCTTAATTAGGTATAAACCAAAGTAATAATTCACATTAAACGAAAGTTCCATATCATATAACGTCTCTTGGGAATCAAATTGGCAATGAAATAAACATTGCATGTCGATTAGATTTTTATTCCTAAAGTTAACAAAAGACAACAACGAGTTTGGATTTGTATCGACACGTTTTTCCTGATGAGTAAACTCATATTAGTCCATTCTTTTGTACATAATTTCATAAATTTCAATATGTACATATTATTCACCTGAGTACACAACACCAACACAGAAAAATTCATATTAGTAAGAACACATTGGTATAGAAGGAACTAGATACTGTTCCGAAATATCACTTACTCGAACCGTCCTGACCGCGTAGCTCAGTTGGAAGAGCATTGGGCTAGTATTCGAAAGGTCGTAGGTTCGAATCCCACCGTGGCCGGGCATATTTTTCAAGCTCGCCCTGTGTGGATATGCAATCAGAGTAACATCGGAAACATATTATTCACCTGAGTACACAACACCAACACAGAAAAAATTCATATTACTAGAACACATTGGTATAGAAGGAACTAGATACTGTTCCGAAATATCACTTACTCGAACCGTCCTGACCGCGTAGCTCAGTTGGAAGAGCATTGGGCTAGTATTCCAAAAGTCGTAGGTTCGAATCCCACCGTGGCCGGGCATATTTTTCAAGCTCGCCCGGTGTGGATATGCACTCAGAGTAACAACGCGAACATATTATTCACCTGAGTACACAACACCAACACAGAAAAATTCATATTAGTAAGAACACATTGGTATAGAAGGAACTAGATACTGTTCCGAAATATCACTTACTCGAACCGTCCTGACCGCGTAGCTCAGTTGGAAGAGCATTGGGCTAGTATTCCAAAGGTCGTAGGTTCGAATCCCACCGTGGCCGGCATATTTTTCAAGCTCGCCCGGTGTGGATATGCACTCAGAGTAACATCACAAACATATTATTCACCTGAGTACACAACACCAACACAGAAAAATTCATATTAGTAAGAACACATTGGTATAGAAGGAACTAGATACTGTTCCGAAATATCACTTACTCGAACCGTCCTGACCGCGTAGCTCAGTTGGAAGAGCATTGGGCTAGTATTCCAAAGGTCGTAGGTTCGAATCCCACCGTGGCCGGGCATATTTTTCAAGCTCGCCCGGTGTGGATATGCACTCAGAGTAACAACGCGAACATATTTCCACCACTGTTAATGTCTCCTTTCAACCAAAACAAACTTCTAGTCCTAAACCATCCAAAAAAACAGTTACCATCATCTAAACCTACATTAGGAAACAAAGAATATCAAGAGTCAAAAAGGAAAATGTCCTTAAAGGTATGATAATTAATTGTAATTGCCTAAAGGGACTTCTCGCTCCAACTATTTCCAAGCATTATTGGATCTCCATTAACCTGACATTGTCCTAGGGACGGAGTCTAAGCTCGATCACAGCATATCAACTCATTCAGTTTTTCCAATCAACCACATCATTTTCCGGAATGATAGAAATTCGAATGTAGGTGGTGTTTTTCAGGCAGTAAAGTCTGATTTAATATGTGAGGAACACTCTAATTACACTAGTGAGTGTGAAATCCTGTGGACATACATAAAGCTTGCCAATCGAAAGCCCATCTGCCAAGCTACTTGCTGTAGACCACCAAATTCCTCTCCCGATATTATTGATAAGATCCAAGACTCCATCAATAAAATACTTGACTCCCAAATTCCCTATCCCAATATTATCATGGGATAAGACTTCAATCTTGGTGACACTGCTTGGGAGTCTGAAGTACCATATGTCACTAATTCCAACACTGCGGCACAGCATACTAAACTACTACAAGTTCTAGATGATTCCTCATTCACCCAACATGACAAAGTTCCTACACGACCTGCCTCTGGTAAAACTTTGGATTTACTGTTTTTGTCATATCCAAACTCAGTTTCAAATGTGTCTACACAATCTGACATGAGTGATCATCTTCTTGTTCTCTTTGATATTCATACTAAACCTATCAGATCCTTTAAACCACCACATAAGACATATGCTTATAAGCGAGCAAACTGGAATGAGATTTCTAACTATATCTCACTTTCGTCAGCTGCGTTCTTTAACTCCAACCCCGAAGGTTATTCTGTGGATGAAAACTGGAACATGTTTAAGTCCTCCTTATTTAAAGCTGTAAATGACCACATCCCCCAGAAATTGTCTGTATCAAAATACAAATTGCCATGGATAACTGTGGCCATCAAGAGACATATGCGGAAGAAGGATAGATTACATAAACTAGCTATGAGATCACGTAAACAGTGCCATTGGGAGTCTTTTAAAAAGGAGAGAAACCTTGTCTCTAAGATGGTTAAAGAATCTCACAGCCAATATTTAAACAACGTCATTGGAGAAAGCCTAACTAACAATCTAAAAAAGTTCTGGTCATACGCACGTACCAGTAAATCAGAAATCATTGGCATTCCTCCTTTAAGAGCAGGGAGCAAATTCTGCTCTACAGACAGGGATAAAGCTGAAATTCTTAGTTCTCATTTTGCTTCAACTTTCACTATGGAATGCTTGCCTCCTCCAGCCACCGATCAATCACCTTAGAAATCAATTGCTAAATTGCAAATCACTACTCAAGGTGTTTCAAATCAATTAACTCGGTTAAACCCTGGTAAAGCTTGCGGTCCGGATGAAATCCCTGCCAGAATGTTGAAAGAACTTGCTCCTATAATTGCACCTTGGCTTTGTTTCATCTTTCAACGAACTTATAACGAGGGTAAATTGCCATTGGACTGGACAAAAGCCTTGGTTAGTGCAATCCATAAGAAGGATAGCAAAAATAACCCTGTAAACTACAGACCAATTTCTTTAACTTGTATTTGCTGCAAAGTTATGGAACATATTAATAATAATAATAATAATAATAATAATAATATGCATTTCTATAGCGCCAATTCCTATAGCTCAATGCGCTTTACAGTATTTAGAAAATTTAAAATTTTAATATATTTACATCAATCCATTTAAAAATTTAAGTTTATTTACAATTACTATATAAAAGTCAATATAAGAAGTGAATAAGATAAAAATTCAGTTAGATAGATACAACTAGCAATAGTTAAAATTGGTAAAACTAGTGTCAATTACTTATAAAAATTTTTAAATAGATTTCAATTTTGTTTTAAAAATAGATATCGATTCACTATGTCGTACTGAATCTGGAAGTTCATTCCATAGTTTTGGTGCTGCATATGAAAATGATCTTTGACCATAGTTGACCAACTTTATGGGGGGTACTGAGAGTAGTCCTTTCATCGATGAACGTAGATTCATTGTTGATTTGTGCGGTTGTAGCATATCCCTAATGTAGCTTGGTGCAAGACCATTCAGAGCTTTGTAGGTGATGAGAAGTATCTTGTAAATTATACGTTGGCTTACGGGAAGCCAGTGCAGTTCTTTCATAACAGGGGTGATATGATCAAATTTTCTACGTCTTGCTATCAAACGCGCTGCACTGTTCTGCACATTTTGTAATCGATCAATCATGAGTTTTGGCAACCCATGTGGCAGAGAATTACTGCTATCCAGTTTAGAAGTAATAAATGAGTGGACCAGAGTTTCAGTGTCTGCTGTAGATAGACAAGCTCTTATCTTTGCTATTTTACGCAAATGAAAGAAACATGTCTTGCAGATATTAGTCACATGTTGATCTAGAGACATATGTCGGTCGAATGTTACGCCAATGTTACTAGCTGTGTCAGATTAGTAGTAGTAGCAGTAGCATCTTTATTTAACGAGGCTAAAGCACATTACTGCCGAAGGCTGAAGAACTTGTGGCCCTCATTGAGTGTGAGTGTGAGTGAGTTTTTAGAATATGGGCGTAAGTGTTGTCTCTCTGATTTCTAAATACAACCTCGTACCCAAGGCTTTTTGTTTCCGCGTTTGGATGGTCAGCGAAAAAGGCTCTGGCTTCGGCTGGTCTGTTTTGCAACCTAATTGGTCAATGATTTTGAATGTATGTATTCAATATATGTGGGAATGATTATTATTTTGGTGGAACGAAAGTGGAGTAACACATTTATAATTAGTTTTTGAAGGACTATACTATTGAGCAAATAAGATTTTTGACATTTTGCTTGAGATACAACATGAATTAGGGAAAGACAATACATCATAAAACAATTTGGTTCAAATTAAGTCTTTGTACATTTTGTATAGACGAGTATTTGCTTCGGTTCAACATACATTTCTCACATGCGTTGTTTAAACATCGTTGATTTGAAGAAACCTACAGCGTTATGTACTTTTTAAAAAAAACGAGCAGGAGTGTTTTATTAAAGGTTTAAAGCTACGAGCGCGCAGCGCGAGTGGCTTTAGACCTATAAAAACACGACTTGCGAGTTTTTTAAATGACTTGAAAAACGTTTGCATAACAAGTCAACTTTTTATATAAAAATTATTATATAAAAATTATTATATAAAAATCTTTATATAAAAATCTTTATATAAAAATCTTTATATAGTTTGCATAACAATGGTCTTTTGTTGAAGTGTTCTTTAGCTGGTATAAAGACGTATGCACGTGACTAATTTTTTACTCAAGATTGGATAATTTCTTCATGAATTATTAATGAGTTTTTGAAGTACTATTTAAAGCACGCGTAGGAGTACGCGTGGATAAAACACGACTACAAGTGCTTTAAATGGCTTAAAAACGACCCATCTTCTGATGAGTACATTAGCGAAGTAATGTTTAAAATAATCTTGTATACGTGATAATCTTGTATACGTGATTTATACGTTGGCACTTTTGAACATGATAATGTCACTGATTGCGCTTTATTTAAGAAATAGAAAACAAGTCGCGTGCGTTTATGATGTGATAATGCACGCTGGGAATGTTGGGAGAATACGAGAGAAGCGTGTAAAACACGAGGCGTAGCCGAGTGTTTTACATGCTTCTCGATTATCCTCCCAACATTTCCCAAGTGCATTATCACACCATAAACGCACGAGACGAGTTTTTCTATTTCTTTTATAATATAAGTAGAAGATATTACATAGTAAACAATTTTACTCAAAAGATCGACGTTGAAATTCTCCTAACATGTACTCATTGACGTCACGCGCATGCTTTTACCACAGAATACTACACAGAAGTCCATCTCCATTGTTTTTAGCGTAAGCTCTATTCGTCTTGATTCGTCACTCGGCAAGTACCGTAAACGGAAGCAGTCGCCCCCCCTGGAAATACTAAAAATGGCGTATGTTCAGGGGGGTGACTGCTTCTGTTTACGGTACTTGCTGAGTGACGAATCATGACGAATAGAGCTTACGCAAAAAACAATGGAGATGGACTTCTGTGTAGTATTCTGTGCTTTTACTGTCCTTGAATTTTTTATAAGCGAGCGAAGGAGAAAAATTGCCAAAACAATATACAAACTTTTGATGCTCTAAAGCCGGAAAAATTGTTTAAAATAGTGAAAATAAAAAAAGCAGTGACACACAGACTAATTTGCCGAAGTTTTCAGCATCTGCGCTGCTGGATTTGCCATGAAAGACGGTAAATCGTAGGTTTCGTCGTGTTTATTACTCAGTTTTGAATTTTCGAAAATATTGTATTTTTTGTCTTTCGCCGTAAATATATCTACCAGTTATTATCAGAAGAATTGAAGGTACTTTCTAAATCACTTATATTCAGTTTTTGTTGCCTTTTTGTATGTATTTGGTCTTCCAGCTGTATCTTTTTCAAGTTTTTTTCTCGACTATCAGTTTGTACGCCTTTTACCCAAAATTTGTCGAGACAACAACAAATTCGACGAATGCCAAGCTGGTTTATTTGATAAGTAGAACTATAGAAAATTGCTTTGTTCCTTTGGTTTATTCCTTCTTGCTTTCTGGTAAATTTTGTATTTTAGAAGCTCTATAATGTTGTATATAATTTTGGCTAAAAAGCAGTGATTAAGAGGGGAAAACACAGAGAAAGAGCAAAGCAGAGCCACAGATCACAGTGCATTATTGCGTCACAATGCTCGCGCATTAGCCAATCAAATCGTCTGTTCTATCACACTTATATTATAAAATCATTAAAGGTTAATTACTTTCCATTTCAAGTGGTACATGTTACGTACAAGACTTGTGGGAATCTGTTAGCCAGTTTGTTGCGTCCCGACATCGTTCACTTTCACTTCCCATGTCTTGGGACTGAAATATTTTTACGGGAACTAACACTTTCGAACATGCTGAGATCAAATCCGAACAGTTCCCGCTCCGTAGTCCTGAAATTTTCTCTCAAACTGCAATTTTATCTTCACTAATTTCAAGACAAGTTTTTTCATTGTTCAACGACACGGATCGATGACGACAAACGATTATGTCACTCAAAAGGACCAATTTCTGTTAACCAGTCTTTCTTTTAACAAGAGACCGGAATCATTTTGAAATTATGTGATAATATGTTATGCGTGTTGAACGTAAACAACATATCTTGTCTACAACTTTGAGAAGGTGCAGATAAATCTTTCTAGAATCCTCAATTCTGGCTCTATCTCTATAAAATCACAACGACGTTAATATTAAGTCTTTTGGCTATGTCTCTATCCTGCGAAATAACTCTTTTAACGCTATCAAGGTATAAGACAACACTGAAATGAAATATTGTCGATGAGTTGCTGGTCAAAAACTTTCAACAGGATCACTCTTAATAAATATTATAAAATAACATGTACATAACGCGTATTCTGATTGGTCGAAACCCGTGCTTGGATCAGGCCATCCAAACACGGAAGACTATCGTGCTGTTGTTATTTTATAAAACAATTACTTTATGGTTTCCGTGTTTGGATGGCCTGATCCAAACACTTGGGAATGTTGCTCGAGTTAAGAAAAGCGGGCAA